TAGAGTAATTTGTCATTGTGAGGAGCACAAGATTTGTCTGAATTTGTGTCAAAGGTTATTGGCTGAATTGCCACCTCATCTTTTCAGTCAATCTATACATACAAGGAAGTTTGGGGAGAGGCTAATGGCCTTCTCCCTGAGGGGGATGAGATTGTCCAACTTAGGCAGCTGATAAGAGGTAGAAATATCCATTGATTTATCCATTTCTTGTGGTAGCACTGATTTAGAGTTGGTCTTGGGAATTTCATTTAACTTTCTTAGTCCTTTTTTTTTTTTTTACAAAAGCTAATCCAAATATTAGAATTTTTATCATGCCATTTTGAGGGTAACCCTCTATTCACTTTTGTTTTTTAAAAAAGCTGTCTCATCTTTATACTAATGGCAACTATGAATATTTTTGTTTCTGAGGTTAGATTTTTGTTCGGCATTGAATTTATCTAGGAGAGATTTGAGAGATTTTATAATGATTGCTGGTCTGTAACCAGATTATAAATTTTGATTGGAAAATGGCCATCCTCAAGCCCTGACAGTGACAGTATTTCCTCCTTATGACTGGCTATAAAAGCAGTGAGAAAACCAGGCCACAGATTATGGCTAAATACAAATAAAACATTTTGGTTACAGATCTGTCCATATGGGTTACTGTGGAATATATTAGTTAAAATTCAACTAGCCATGAAATATACAATTATATAAATTTTTACTGGGATAAATTAGTTTTTGTTATTTTATCACAATGTTTTCTTGTCACTATGTAAACTTTCTGAAGGCACATCCTAGTATGGTAACTACAGTAACAATTCCAGTGGTTAAGTAACAGTTCTTAAACAACTCCTGTCTGTCATGTGATGTTCTAATATGTTACATCCATAAACACTTCATGTTTGTGATCAGCCTAGGAAGTGGCAGTAGTTTAAGTCTCCAAAGATGCCCTGGTCCAGATTCCTGTAACCAGTGCCTATGTCAGAAGGGGCTTTGTAGGTGGAATTAAGATTAAAGATCTGAAAAAGGAACATTATCCTGCGCTATCTGGATGGGGCTTTAAAAGTGGAAGAAAGAAGTAGAAGAATGAGTCAGAGAGGTGTAACAGTAGAAGAAGAAGGAAAGATTTAGACGGAATTTCTGCCTGGGAATATGAAGGGAGAGACCCAGGCACAAAAATCCAAGAAATTCAGTTTCTTCTAGAAGGTGAGAATAATCTTTAGCTGGCAGCCAGCTGGAAAATGGAAGTGAATTCTGTCAACAACTTGAAAGAACAAGGAAATAGATTCTAGAGCCTCTAGAAAGAAATATGGCCTTACTGAAAACTTGGCATGGTTTTAACACAGTGAGACTCATGTTGAGCTTTTGACCTATAATACTGTAAGCTTATAAAGTTAGGCTGTTCATGCTCTTAAGTTTGTAGCAAGTTATCACAATAACAGTAGAAAACTAATGAGGAAACTCATAATATTTCCACATTATAAATGGGGAAACTGAGATAAAACACCACTTTAAAAATTTCAACGCAATTCTTATTAGAGTGTGTAACACATGATAAACACTTGATGTATTGAAACACTAAATAAATGCATAAATAAATAGCTTTTGTGTAATTACCCTGAACCAAGACACTTTTAATTCTTTCTTTTTAATTTTTTAAAAATTTATATTTTTATCAGTACATGTTTGTGCTAAAAAATTATTACATTCATTGTGGGGAATGGTACATGTACATAACACATTCTAATTTGTTTTTTTTTTTGGTATCGGGGATCGAACTCCGGACCTTGTGCTTGCAAGGCAGGTGGCTGAACTACTGAGCTAAATCCTCAGCCCTCTACTTCTTTTTTTCATGCCATTCTCCTCCCCTCCCTCTTCTTTCAACCTCTTTGTCCTTTTCCCTTTTGCAAAAGATCTTTCTATTTCTTATTATCTATTTTTTACTTTGCTCTTCATTTATATTTTGGGTTTTTCATATAGTAGAAATCATGTGATATGTAAGCTTGTGTGTCTGATTTATTTCCCTTAACATTATGTTCTAGGTTCATCCATTTTCCTACAAAAGGCTCAAGTTTATCCTTTGTGGCAGAGTAGTATTCCACTGTATATAAATAGCACATTTTGATTAGACTGGGTATTTTCTTAAGGGCGATATTTTAGATAGTCAACAAATTTACACACTTAATGTATTCATATCACTGCTCTCAGAAAATACAAGGAATGATCACTTGGTCCCGCCGCTCCCGGCCCAGAGGAAGGGGCTTCTGAGCCGCCGTCCCACTGCTCCTGGTCCAGAGGAAGGGGCTTCCGGGCAACCATCCCTCCTGCCGCTCCCAGCCCCTGTCCCACCTCTCCCAGCTCAAAGGAGATGATCCGCGCGGGCAGCAGCCCCCCCCGCCCCACGACCCCCAGTCGAAATGAGAAAATACGTAAATAAGTCTCAAAACCAGACTTCCAGATCACCTACAGCAACCACAAAGGGAAATGAGATGGAACACTCTGGTACTCAACCACCTGGACCCACTGAACTGGCAACAAAAGGGGATCTAGGAATGATCACTCTATCATTTGTATTAGATTTAGAGAGCAAAACAGAGGGCTATCAGAGGTTGAATAAAAGTATGAAAAAATTATTCAAGAGAAAAATAGAAGGATTCTTTATTTTCATACTCAAGTATTTGGAAAATACTTTTGATCTTTTCAATTTCAACTAAGGTCAAATAAATAATTTCTTTTTCTTTCTTATCCTGGGGCATTCTACTTAGGGTTGTCCATGTGGGAAATAACTCTATGACCTACTGTCTGCAATTTAGAGAATTTTCAGTTCTGATTTAAAAATTTGATATCGTGCTTGGAAACTTTGTTTTCTCACTCCACGGAATCAATGCTGATGGCATATCCAGGTAAGAATTTGTTGTACTTCTAGTTGTATAGAGGAATGAGTGTCTACATTTTTAAGGTACTTCCATGTTATTTTCTTCCTCTATAATTAGTTACAGATGCGACATATGCAGGAAGTGAATCCAATCTTCACCTGTATTCTAGAACTGCTGCAAGTGAATACCCCAGGTTCACTCCTCTGGGAGATGATACTCTAACCCTTAGAGAAGGTTTCTATGCAGTCCTAAGTTTGTGTAGACTTCTCAGCCTATGTTATAACTAGCTTATTACAGATAGAGCACCTACACTTTTGAAGAACTTCTCTAGTTATTTTTAATAATATACCAACAAAGTTTTATTTATGAAGATAATATCATGATTTCAGAAAAATCTGAGCTCACTTGTCTTTAGATAATTATAAAAAAAAGAAACCCAAGAGCTAGACATAGACTTAGGTCTTATCTGAAAAGATTAATTAAATTACAGGAAGGGAAACAAAATATGCAAGATGGATGAAATGCAAAGATAAAAAGAGTGGTGGATAAAAGTGTTTTAACAGATCACAAACAGACCAATTAAAATAGAAACAATTATTCACTTATGACTAATATAAAAAATAAGCCTGAAATGTTATTTTGGCACCAGATTGCAGATAGCATTAAATATTAAATAGGTAATTTTAAACAAATTTCTAGTCATTTAGTTTGGTACAGTCTTTTAAGATGAATAGTGTTCATATGTTCAAAAAGTATTGGACAGTTTGTATGAGTGGCAGTTTAATTCATAAGAAATTATTTCTAAAGACATTATAGTTCCATTCAATTGTCTCGATGGCTAAGTGTACATCTGTAAGTTTACAGGTAGAAAAGTGAGAGATAAGCTTACTTATTTTTCTGTTTAATACGTTCCCAACAAGTTGAACCACCGATGGTGGTGCATGCAAAACTGTCCCACCCACCCAGTGGCTTGTACCACAGGTGGTCTTAATCACTTTTATTGATCTTTTTACCAATAAAATGAAGACAGAGCCTCCTCATGGGGCAGTCATGCATATACCAATGGTAGTTCAATGCACTGAGTGGTGAGATACACGAATTATAGCCTCATCTTTAATGTGTTAAGATTTATGACTTTAGAAATCACATATGAGTAAGAGTACAGGTTAAATAGGTAATAGTGGATGAGGAACTAGGTTTTCAACAATAAAGTGTTAGATAGACATATATGGGTATGGTGAAGTTCCATATCTTTCTGCTGAAACCTCTTGCCACTTGCTGTTTTGGCTGAATGTAGTGCTGAGATGACAGTTTCACACTCAGGTTGGCATTTTAGGTTTTAAAAGTTAGTGCCGTGATAAAAAAGCCAAATCCCACTTGAGGAGCATTGTTGACACATTGTGTCCAACTGACAGAGATAAAATAAATTGGTATTTCTAAAATGCCTGCATTGAACATTCAAGCATATGGTTTATTGCAGAAAACAAGATAAAAACTTTTCTCATCAAAACAAGGCTAACAATTTAAAACAAAATCTGTTGATAAATGTATATTTCATGCTCCAAGGAAAAATTTAATAAATGTTTTGCATTCTAATTCATGACACAAACTTATACATACTGTTCACATAGGGTTAAGAGAATAGACACTGCAAGTTAATGCTACATTTTAACTTAAAATAGAATATGCTTGAATTTCAAAGAGAGGGGGAATATAAAATGTCACTTTCAAGATTATTTAAAAAACAAGCCCAAATCAATTGAAAAAAATTTTAACTGAGGGCTAAAATTCCTGTTATTTCGCTGAAATATTGGAATTGCTACGAAAAATTATTTTGTTGACCTATGTCACAATGATGACACAATGTGACACAGCTGTCACAGTGATTTCAAATGTAGCTATTTTCAGGACACTATTCACCTAGTCATGCAGTATTAGTTATACGTGAGGGAGGCATCAGTACCATAATAGGTTTAGACCATCCTGAGAACCTTGAGATATTCATTCCCTGCTACAAGACTACCCATCAGTGAAGCTGTTCTAAGAGAAAGACAAGGCACAGTAAGTTTCTGGAATGATCAGAAAATTGATTATTCTCAAGGCCTCAGGTTTTCATGTGAATGTACATATTCTGTGCCTGTATTTCTTCATAACCATCTTGTTCTCACAACTCTGTTTTGTTCTGCATATTCTCCTCTTCTAGTCCAGAATTAGCCGAGCTTCCTGTACCTACATAGCAAGTTCAAAAACAATAAATTAGCATTTCCTACTTTTTAAAACAAGTAGTTTCAAGATAGCCATTGAATTCTATTCCTAATGTCTTTAGTACTTCAAAATACATTCCATTTTTCACATTAACTACTACTTGAGTCTGGACTCACAGTGCATAAGAATGTATTTATTGACATCAATCATGGCTCTTAGTGAGGGATTTGTTTTCAATCACCTACTAAGGGAAAATGGGCAGCCATGGGCAGTGGAGGCCTTGGGATCACTGAGTTACCAGAGACCAAGGCAATGGGAAAATTTGCTAAATTCTTATTTCAGAAATGAGTGGAAATATGAAAGAAATCTGAGGTGCTAACACAGGTGAGAGAAACGACAAGAGAGGGAGGTAAAAAGGAGCCAGGATGTCTTTTGCCAAACAAGGCAGAAGGCAAGGAATTAAATTGGGAAAATGTCCCAGGAGCTTTTAGTAACTGGAATCATAATGATAAGATTTCAAATTACTGCCAGGGATTTAGCTCAGTGGTTTCGCTGCCTGCTGTGCAAGCACAAAGACCCGAGTTCAATCCCCGGTACCAAAAAAAAAAAAAAAAAAAAAAGATTTCAAATTACTTTAATTGTTTAATTGTTTTCTATAATGTTTTTCTATCAGTATTAATAATAGGAGATTCCACATACATACTTTATAAATGACTGGGCTAATATGAATTAAGAAAACAAATGAAAAGAGTTCTGTATTTGGGTGAATCAAAAGATATTACAAAAGTAATCAGAGCTCATAATTAGAGATCATAATAAAAATTCTGGCTTCTTGCAAATTTAGGAAAATTTTGCCAGACAATTTCCTCTCTACATTGCAGATAATGGGAATGGGAATAATTTTATGTAGCACTAAAGAGGTGATGAAATCCCAGCTGATGCCTGGGTTAAACACTTTTATATTGTAATTTCTTTCTGGAGGATTTCTGAATGTTTTCATGAATGTCTTTGGTGTCACGAGTATCAACTCTAGGTAACCATAGCAAAAGCAAGCAAACAAACAACAAAAAAATGATTCAGAGTGGCTCACAGAATTGAAGGATAAAATAAATAAGCAATTGTGTCATGATAAGGATTGAAAGTGAGATGCCTGCAGTGGAGAGTCTATTCTGGAGCCTTCCTACCTTTATTTTGAATCTATGGCATCTTTTTCTAGATTTAAATTTCCTAAGGCAAGACAGTAATTGTCTTAATTTGGATACGCTTTTCCCTTTGGATGATGGAAAAGGGGCAATTTAATCTATTTGCTCCCCAGTACAATTTTTAAGAAGTTAAAAAATGGTTGTACGAGCAAAGTTGGTTTCTCTTTTCAAAACAAAATGGTAATGTATATGAGATAAACAAAAATAACAGAGGCCTGAGCCCAGAGGAAGGGAATTCCAAGCTGCCATTCCATGGTTCCCAGCCCAGAAGTAGGGGCTTCTGGGCCACCAATCCACCACTCCTAACCCAGAGAAGGTGAGCCACGTGGGCGGCAATGGCACCCCCCAGCCCCCACCAACAGTCAAAATGAGAAGACATGTAAACAAGTCTCAAAACCAAATTTCCAGATCACCTACAGCAACCACAA